ATGATGAACTCGTTCTACAAATTGCCAAACTGGATGAGAGCTTCATCAGCTTTCCTAGAATGCCTGAGTCACCGTTTCCTCTTGCGTTCCAGAATTTCCAATGATAACAACGTTGGTTTCAAAATCCTGGATGGTTGAAACCACATCTTTGGTAGGCGTCTCCATTGAGTAAGACTGATCTAGAACTCGGCTCTACAGGTAGTTCTCGATGTACGACCGCGATAGAGCTCAAAATTTCCATTGCTAGGTGAGACAATTGTCAAGTGAGTTTGGCCCCATTTTACGACTTTCCCGCCCACCGTTGTTAAGTGAATCACTGCAAGTTGTTAAGTTAGCAGCACCGTTGTTAAGTGAATCCGGCTTCCCCCGTTGACTTTGTTTGTCAGACGGTCACAAAAGGGGATCACGTGATCTCGGGACACTGCAACCGTCATAAATATGAATCAGTTGCCAAGCGTCTGAATTTTGATCATGCGATCACGATGAAGGTAAAAGCATCATAAGTCGGTGTTTTCAGTGCTATTGTAACTTTGAACAGTCACTAAACAAATGGTTGTAACTCAAGGACTACCTGTAGATACTGAAAATATTTCATACTTAAGATCCTAACGCTGATGCGTAATTCCAGCTGAACCAGCACAATGTTTCAAAAATAGCTTACAAGTTTGAAAATAGCTCCTTCCGTGCCCTACATATGATAATCTAGTTTATCATGTACTATTGTATTTGGTATTCCAAATCTGGATTTGCAATTATTATGAATATGCAATTATTATTACAGCTGCAGGAAGTGAGCATGGCTAGTCTGGTGAAGAGAAGGACCAGGGGAGACATGATAGCAAGTCTTCCAATATTTGAGGGGCTGCCACAGAGAGGAGGAAGGGGGTCAAGCTATTCTCCAAAGCACCTGAAGTCCAGACAAGGAATAATGGATGGGAACTGAACAAGGAGAGATTCAGCCTAGAAATAAGGAGGAATTTTCTGACAGTGAGAACAATCAACCCATGGAACTGAAGTTGCCTTCAGAAGTTGTGGGAGCTTCATCCCTGGAGGCTTTCATGAAGAGACTGGACTGCCATCTGTCAGAAATGGTGTAGGGTCTCCTCCTTGGGCAAGGAGATGACCTACAAAGTCCCTTCCAACTCTGCTAATCTGTAATGAAGCACTTTTAACTGGGTTACTGACACTATCCCTACAAGAGAGGCAAAATTGGAGAAGTTATGGAGAAGCTGCACCAGATTAATACCTGGTAGGAACCTATTAGGGAATTCCATAATTGCAAGGTAGACAGACTAGGTTACAATTATGGAATTCCCTAATAATTTCCAACCGGGTGTTAATCTGGTGCAGCTTTCTCCTTAACTTGCTGCTAATACCTTATTGCAATTTTATGGTGTTAGTAGTTCTCACATACCTTAGCTGGCATTTTTTAAAAAAATGATATCCTCATATGAGGGTACGGCCCATCCAGATCAACCTATTAAGCGTTCACCTGCCCATTAACACAGATTTTTTTCGGAGAATTAACATCTCTCTGGTTCAATTTACATAATACCATGCAAATCAGTAATACATTTACATGCATTGCACCCGAGGTGAGAAATTGTAATTCTGTTCAGTTCTTAGTGCCTTTGCTGCTGCTGCTGCTACATGTTCTCTTTTGTCACTTTTGGGTGTTGGAAGAAATATCCATCTGGTTCAGTTCCAAGCTAGGAGAAAAACACTGGAAACATGGAAGCTGATTGGAAAGATGGTTTATTAATGAACAGGACCATATAGGTTTGAAGTCCTGGGCAGCTGACCACATGGAGTGGAGAGTGAGGGGTATTTATACCCTCTCTTGGGCTTTGCCCTTGAGCTTCCTGTTCCTGTGGCAAGAGCATGTATTCTATTGGTTGCTGTCAGACTCCCATGGGGACATGTAGGGGTTATGTAGGGGTCGTAGCCAGTGATGGGTTTCAAATTTTTTACTATTGGTTCTGTGGGTGTGGCTTGGTGGGTGTGGCAAGGGAAGGATACTGTAAACTCTCCATTCCAACCCCATTCCAGGGGAAGGATACTGTAAAATCTCCATTCCCTCCCTACTCCAGGGGAAGGTTACTGCAAAATCCCCATATCCTCCCGATCAGCTGGGACTCGGGAGGCAGCTGATAGATGGGGCTGGGGCCAGTAGAGGTGGTATTTACCGGTTCTCTGAACTACTCAAAATTTCCGCTACAGGTTCTCCAGAACTGGTCAAAACCTCCTGAAACCCACCTCTGGTCCAAATGGGTTTGAGGTCCTGGCCAGATGACCCCATGGAGTGGAGAGTAAGGGTTATTTATACTCTCTCTGGGCTTGGAACTTGAGCTTTCTGTTCCTGTGGCAAGAGCATGTATTCTATTGGTTGCTGTCAGACTCCTATGGGGAAATGTAGGGGTTATGTAGGGGTCATAGCTGAGGTTGTCTGAGCTCCTAGGTTTGGTTGAAGTTTGGGCTGATGACATGAAGGGGCTTGTTGGGCAATTCCTATCGTGGCTGAGGGCTAATCCTACCTTTGTTCAGACCTTGCTGGATGGAATTTGCTTATGAATAGAGCTAGCTATCTCTTTATCTCTTAAGTGCTGACATCTGCTGTGAGCTGTTAAGGAAGGTGGTGGCTGCTTTCCAAGAGCATGTTTCTCCATTTCTCATCCAGGGAAATATAATATTCTGCCTTTTTTAATATTTCTCAAAATATTTCATTCTTCTAAGAAAGGGGTGGGTGCTAACTTTCTACATGGGATTCGAGAAGAGTCAAAAAATCTGTCAGCCAGAAGCCAATAAATTCAGAGTTCTGTCTCTACAGCTGGTCAACGACTGTATTACAAAGGAACATTCCTTACAGGTAGTTCAACGGCATTGAAAAAAGTGACTTACGACCATTTTCCACACTTACGACCTTAGTAGCATCTCCATGGTCTCCATGATCAAAATGCAGAGCTCAGCCACCGACTCCTATTTATGACCATTGCAGGGTCCCAAGGTCATAGGATTCCCCCGTTTTTGCGACCTTCAGATGAGCAAAGTCAGTGAGGAAGGCAGATTCACTTAACTTCCATAACCGTAGCCCGGAAGGTCATAAAATGAGGCGAAAGTCACTTTTTTTTTTAAATTTGATTTATATGCCGCCCTTCTCCAGAGACTCAGGGCGTCTTACAGTGCGTTAAGCAATAGCCTTCATACTTTTGTATATTTATACAAAGTCAGCTTATTGTCCCCACAAACTGGGTCCTCAATTTACCTACCTTGGAAAGGATGGAAGGCTGAGTCAACCTTGAGCCTGGTGAGATTCGAACTTACTTTAATTGCAGACAGCTAGTGTTAAATTACAGTGCTTTTAGTCTGCGGAGCTATCCAGGCTCCCTTAACGACTGGTTTGCTTAGCAGCAGAAATTTCGGGCTCAATTGTGGTCATACTACCTGTACTCTAAATAATATAATTTAGTATTTGAAACAGAAACTTTTGATAATACGTTGTGTTCTGAGAGACTATAATTAACTTGGTAACATCCCTGAGATGATTTCAACATCTTTGGGCTGACTATGAAATCCTGGTCTGAAGATGGCCTCCTTAGAAACATCTAGCTGAACATTGAGTGTTATTATGACTGTTTTTTTTTCCCCCATAAAAGGTAAAGGTAAAGGTTCCCTTCGCACATATCTGTTAATCATTCCTGACTCTAGGGGGTGGTGCTCATCTCCGTTTCAAAGCCGAAGAGCCAGCGCTGTCCGAAGACGTCCCCATGGTCATGTGGCCGGCATGACTCAATGCCAAAGGCACACGGAACGCTGTTACCTTCCCACCAAAGGTGGTCCCTATTTTTCTACTTGCATTTTTTAACGTGCTTTCGAACTGTTAGGTTGGCAGAAGCTGGGACAAGTAACAGGAGCTCACCCCGTTACGCGGCACTAGGGATTTGAACCGCTGAACTGCCAACCTTTCGATCGACAAGCTCAGCGTCTTAACCACTGAGTCACCGTGTCCCTGTTATTTATTCATAAACATGATTTATTGATCAATCTTTCTACCTTTCTCTTTCTACTTTTCCTTTTAGCCCAACTCACTTCTGAGTTCAGACCTCGCTAAGTCCCAAAATTTATTTTTGAAATGCTGATGCGGCCCCCGTCTCTTCTACAAGGGGACTCTTCTAGAAGACATGGGCAGCAACCTTACAAAACGAAGCCCATCTTGCATGGTTTAGCTTGTACATCTTTCAGAAATGCTACATGTTCTTTCTGCGCCAACTCAGAAACCTCAAACTGCCTAAGGAGCTACTGATCCAGTTGTACAGAGGAATTATTGAGTCTGTCATCTGCACTTCTATAACTGTCTGGTTTGGCTCTGCAACCCAACAAGACAAACACAGACTTCAGAGGATAATTAGAACTGCAGAAGAAACAATGGCTACCAACCTGCCTTCCATTGAGGACCTGTATACTGCACGAGTCAAAAAGAGGGCTGTGAAAATATCTACAGACCCCTCACATCCTGGACATCAACTCTTTCAACTCCTACTCTCAAAACGACGCTATAGAGCACTGCACACCAGAACAACTAGACACAAAAACATTTTTCCCGTACGCCATCACTCTGCTAAACAAATAATTCTCTCAACACTGTCAGACTATTTACTAAGTCTGCACTACTATTAATCTTCTCATCGTTCCCACCACCCATCTCCTTCTACTTATGACTCTATGACTGTAACCTTGTTGCTGGTATCCTTACGATTTATATTGATATTGATTGTTTCCTGATTGCTTATTTGTACCCTATGACTATCATTAAGTGTTGTGCCTTATGATTCTTGACGAATGTATCTTTTCTTTTATGTACACTGAGAGCGTATGCACCAAGACAAATTCCTTGTGTGTCCAATCACACTCGGCCAATAAAGAATTCTATTCTATGTGAAATGTAGCCAACGCTTTAAAAAATACCACATACAACTTAACATCAAGAAATGCGGAAAATTTACCTATTTGAAGTCGTTTCTGAGGAAACACCTGGGATTTCAGGAACAGGACGGTGCCGAAGCATGAAAGATCTTGTTGGCCTGGTGCCTACTCTTGATGGACTTTGGGTGCAATACAGATCATTTTCCACCATTTCACCTTTGAACTCAAAGAACGACGGCTCCTGCAGATCACCGAGCAAACCTCCCAACCCTGATAAGAGCTGATCTTCCACCTCGCTGGTTTTCGTTTCGGTGGGAGAGAAAGCAGAAGACGAAGATCCATCTTTGGGAGCAGCATTAAGTTGAACCTCCAAAGCTTCTGGGTCTCCCTTCTTCAGAGAAGCATCATCCGTGCAAGGTTTCTTCTCTGACGTCACGTTTTTCATTGAGTTTCGTGGCACCGCAGCGGGATCTGCCAACAGGTTGGGACCAAACGTGTCAGAAGAGTCCAGATCCAAAACTGGACTAGTTCTGTTTCCCAACAAGACGTGGGTTGTGTAGTGTGGGTTTCTTTCACAGTTGCTGACGCAAGCTGCATGGGTCTGTTGTCCATGCCCGCCACCTGTTTCCTTCTGTTTGGGATCGAGGAGATGCTTGGGAGAGCAGCTTTGACCGGATGCAGCCGTTTCTGGCATTTTGGTAAACGTGGCCTCCAAGTGTTTGAGGATTCGTCTGCGGTGGCCCGTAGGCGAGATTCCGATGTGTTGAAGGACGCTGTCATTTATTCCCACGCACTCTTGCAAAGTGTGGTAGCCAGAGTTCCTAAAGTTTAAAAGGTATTGTCCCAGGTTGATGCTGATTAAAAAGGCTCCGATATCTGGGTCCGTTTCCCTGGATGACATGATGGCAATTTCATGGGTGGGTTTTGCCATCAGAATCCCAAAGAGGCATGATTCCATGGGGTCATACTGAAAAGCCGGACAAAATCCTTCTCCTACACAGAATGAGATGCCTTCCACAAACAGCAAGCATGCAAATCAATCCCACGTACTTTCCAGTCCTACAACACGAAGGGAAAGAGGACAATGTATTAAAATTGGTTTTAATATTCCGGAATCAACATTTGCGCTCATACTCGTAAAGAACCTTTGGTGAGTTCAAGGAAAATACTGCCGAGTAAACAAATATCTGGTCTTTCACCTCTTGCTGGAAGAAGTTCCTACAAAGGCGAGGAGGTCAAGCTATTTTCCAAAGCACCAAAAAGCAACACAAGAAACAATGGCTTGGAAACTAACCAAGGAGAGAAGCAACCTAGAACTAAGGAGAAATTTCCTAATAGCAAGATCAATTAACCAATGGAATGGCTTGTCTTCAGAAGTTGTGGATGCTCTCCACCACTGAAAGCTTTCAAAAAGAGACTGGACCAACCATTTGTCTGAAATGGTATAGGTTTTCCTGCTCAAGCACAGAGTTGGACTAGAAGAACTCTGAGGTCCTTTCCAACTATTCCTTTCCTTTCCTTCCCTTCCCTTTCCTTTCCTTCCCTTCCCTATTTTTCCTTTCCTCCTTTCCTTTCCTTTCCTTTGCTTTCCTTTGCTTTCCTTTCCTTTCCTTCCCTTTCCTTCCCTTTCCTTTCCTTCCCTTCCCTTCCTCTTTTCTTCCTTTCTTTCTCTTCCTTTCCCTTCCTTATTTTTCCTTTCCTTCTTCTTTCCTTTCCTTTCCTTTCCTTTCCTTTCCTTTCCTTCCTCTTTTCTTCCTTCCCTTCCCTTCCCTATTTTTCCTTTCCTTTCCTTTCCTTTCCTTTCCTTTCCTTTCCTTTCCTTTCCTTCCTCTTTTCTTCCTTTCCTTTCCTTTCCTTTCCTTTCCATTCCATTCCATTCCATTCCATTCCATCCAGTAGTGGGTTGCAAATCCCGTTGCTACCGGTTCACTCGTGGGCACGCGTGTGCTTCTGGGTGTGTTCGTGGGCGCACACGTACGACACTTCACCACGGCGGGTGGGCGGAGCCTCCCACCACCGCCGCTACCAGTTTGCCCAATCTGGGGCGAACCCGTAGCAACCCACCACTGATTCCATCCCATCCTATCTTCTCTCTCCTCTCCTCACTTCCCTTCCCTTCCCTCTTCTCTCCTCTCTTCTCCTCTCTCCTCCTCTCCTATCTCTCCTCTATTCTTATTCTCTACTTTACTCTGGTTTTCTGAACTTTCTGGTTCTTCCTTCATTTAACACTCAACACCCAAGGAACATATAAGGAAGGATATCGGGAGACGTTAAAAAAATATAGTGACAAACATGCATTTTCAATTAACCATTCACCCAGTTTCCAAGCAACGGATAATCTTTTATAGGTTGGGAGTCACCAGCTTTTCTTCCTTTTTTTAGCCTGTCCCATACATGACTAATAATGATTGGGAGGAAAAAACAGACAGCCAAAGGTGTCTAAAGGTTTATGGTAGAGATCCATAAACTCAGTCCCCTGAACCAATTTCATAAGCCATTGCTGTTTAGTGTGCCGTTAATTTTTTTTTTTTTTAATTTGATTTATATGCCGCCCTTCTCCGGAGACTCAGGGCGGCTTACAACGTGCTCAGCAATAGCCTTCATCCTTTTGTATATTTATACAAAGTCAGCTTATTGCCCCCACAACTGGGTCCTCATTTTACCCACCTTAGAAAGGATGGAAGGCTGAGTCAACCTTGAGCCTTGGCGAGATTCGAACCTGCAGTAATTGCAGGCAGCTGGTCTTAATAACCAGCTTAATAACAGGATGCCTTAGACCACTGTACTACCAAGGCTCTTCCTTCCCTTTCTTATGGTTTCTCCCTGCATTGAATTTTCACAGTTTAAGCACCTTCAGACCAAAAGGTGACCTCTCAAAACTTTGAAGTTTAGTAGAAGCTAAAAAATATTAGATAAAAATATGCATGTGGTTGGAAAAGATGATACAACAACATATATTGACTTGACACCTGAAATATTTCTGTTCGGGACTTTACCAGAAACTTATAGCAAAGAAAATGTGTATTTGATTATTCATGTAATAACCGCAGCTAGAATTATATTTGCACAAAACTGGAAAAGTGAAGAGATTCCTATAGAGGAGAATATGATAAGGAAAATATTAGAATGTGCAGAAATGAATAGATTAACAGTAGCAATTAAAGAGAAAGAACAAACTGGTTATTATGCGATATGGGAAACATTTTATAGATGGTTAGAGGACAAATATAAAAATTAAAAATAAAAGTAGATGAATAAAATATAGAAATATAGAAAATAGTTAATAGAATAGAATAGAATAAATTTTTTTATTGGCCAAGTGTGTTTGGACACACAAGGAATTTGTCTTGGTGCATACGCTCTCAGTGTACATAAAAAGACAAGATACATTCGTCAAGAATCATAAGGTATAACACTTAATGATAGTCATAGGGTACAAATAAGCAATCAAGAAACAATATCAATATAAATCGTAAGGATACAAGCAACAAAATTACAGTCATACAGTCATAAGTGGAAGGATTAAACTCTATCTGTTTAATAGAGTTAAGCAAATTAAGAAGAGGATGTAAAGTATTAGATATTTAATGTATTGGTATTAAGCTAAGAATAGATTAAATAATGAATATGATTGTAAATTTTAACTGCTATTGCACAAACATTTGTACCCAGACGACACACTGTTTAACGGAAGACGGATTATTTGTACTGAAATAAAATTTAAAAAAATATTTTTTAAAAAACAATTCATCGCATGGAAATTCTTTCTATACCTTGAGTGTCAGGAAGACAATGGAGGAGGCGACATCAGAGAAGCCCATCAGGCAAAAAGAAATAGGATTCCACATTGTGCTAAGTCAACCTTGGCCAGGTAGCTTAACCATAACAACCAACTCCCTTCATGTTTTATGCAACTATTTTTTTTTTATCTTTGCTCAAGTTTCCATTTCAAAAGCTTCTCTGCTTTTAATGATGGAAGTGAACCAGAATTTATTTTATTGTATTTTATTTACTTCCCCCTTCTCCATAAGTAACAGGTGGAGTGGACTTCGCAACCCTTTCGGCAGGGATGTCTTGCCAAACTTCAAAGCCGACTTACATTATTTCCCTGCCTGAAGCATTTGCTTCACAAACCTTCCAGGTAAACCTTCGAAAAGAGCCTTGGTGGCGCAGCAGACTAAAGCGCTGTTAAGTAGCACCAGCTGCCTGCAATTACTGCGAGTTCAAATCTCACCAGGCTCAAGGTTGACTCAGCCTTCCATCCTTCCGAGGTAGGTAAAATGAGGACCCGGATTGTGGGGGCAATAAACTGACTTTGTATAAAAAAGAACACCGCTTAGGGGGGGCCGAAAGCCCTACTAAGCAGGTATATACAAAAGTATGAAGGCTATTGCTTAACGCATTGTAAGCCGCCCTGAATCTCCGGAGAAGGGCGGCATATAAATCGAACCAATCAATCAATCAATTAATCAATCAATCAATCAATGACTCTCTAGAAAATATATCGTTCAGATATTTGACCCCGGTGTTCAAACTATAGCTATTCCAAAAACTGGCTTGTTTCGCAATTCCCAAAGGCCATCGGAACGAAGAGTTTTCTTTGTTGTTGTTGTTGTTATTTTGACAAAAAAAATATTTTTTTAAAACAAATATATAAAACAAATTTAAAAAAACTCGCACGGCCGCATTCTGGACCAGTTGAAGCTTCCGGGTGCACTTCAAGGGGAGCCCCCATGTAGAGAGCATTGCAGTAGTCAAGTCGGGAAATGAAATTGATACATTGATACTCCTTGGAGAAAACTGGTCATTTGCATCCTTTTAGAGGGTCGTTGAGGCCACTTGGAGGTTTATCTGTGTCCTCAGGGTCACCTGAGTAGCGCTAATGGTTCCTGCAGTCTGCAATTTTTCTGGAAATCCGTTCCTACTTCCACACCATTCGAAAGGTGTTCATCCCAAATGGCATAGCTAAAAGTCTGTAGAGATTCTCAGTCATCCAGATCATGGTTGTCCCCAAGATCGGGCCCATTGCTCTCAATTAGCATTGTGGTTTGTAGGAATAAATGACTCTAGGCAAAATCTCACCTTCCTTTTTGAGGGCATCTTCGCCACTGGGATTAGTCATAAGTGTCAAATTTTCTGCATTGCAAATATGGACACCCTCGGCAGGCATGTAAAGGCAATTCAACCCTTGCTGAGGGAAGACAGATCTGATTAAGCAGCGAGATGTGACAGGGTGGTGACATGAGCTCACACATCCTGTCACCTGATCCTGATCGGGTGGATCAATAAACAGAAAGTGCTTTAAACTGGCGACCATAACAATCTCTTCTCTTTCCTGAGTACAAAAACAGGAGAATTGTTTTGACTTAATCCTAGTTCCTCTGCAACTGAGTTTTGCAAATCTCGGCTCTTCGTCAGCAATCAAACTCGATGTAAGCCTAAAACAGAAGCTCCGGCTTCGTAGGAAATGCATTGCAGGTATAGTCCTCAATTTACGGCAGTTCCATTTAGCGACCGTGCGAAGTTACGCCGCCACCTGAAAAAGGAGGTTTTGATTTTGGGTTTTACCAATTAGATCGATGCGTTTTGTTTTGTTTTTTTTTAATAGAAATGGCTAGTTGGTATTATTCTGGAAAAGCAAAAAGTTTTGGCTTGATGTTAAGGGTCTGTAGAGATTCTCAGTCATCCAGATCCCAAGTTATTTCAGTATCGGCTTTTCGGTGTTCATCCCAAATTGTATAGCTAAAAGTCGGTAGAAATTCTCAGTCATCCAGGTCACAGTTGTCCCAAAGGTGCTTTTTCAGGAGGCAACTGGACTTTCTGGTTTTTTTTTTTATTTTGAAGACATTTCACTTCTCATCCCAGAAGCTTCTTCCACTCTGACTGGATGTGGGGAAGGGAAGGATTGATATTCCTTGCAGACAGCTGGTCATTTGCATCGTTTTAGAGAGTCATTGAGGCCCCTTGGAGGTTTACCTGTGTCCTCAGGGTCACCTGAGTGGTGCTCCTGGTTCCTGTAATCTACAATTTTTCCACTGGAAATCTTCATATTTTTCAGAAGTCTTTAAAAGAAAAAATTGAGAATCTCTACCGACTTTTAGCTATAGAATTTGGGATGAACACTGAAAAACCGATATTGAAATATTGTTGTTGTTGTTGTTGTTGTTGTTGTTGTTGTTGTTCTTATTATTATTATTATTATTATTATTATTATTATTATTTATTAAATTTATATCCCACCCTTCTCCCCGAAGGGACTCGGGGCAGTGAACAGCCGAGAATCAAAATAACATACAATATAAAAGTTAAAATAATTAAAAATAAATTAAATTAAGCGGCCGCCCCGTTTACATCTAGATGTAAATGTAAAATGGCTAGTAAAATAACCAGATTTTACTACGTAGTTGGGCAGGTCACACAAAGGCAGCAATGTAGACATTTGGTGCGTTAAAGACAAAATATATAAGAGCATAACTCAAAGTCTGAGTTATGGTGGCGCAGCAGACTAATAGCCTGTTATTAACATTCAGCTGCCTGCAATTACTGTAAGTTCGAATCTCGCCAGGCTCAAGGTTGACTCAGCCTTCCATCCTTTCTAAGGTAGATAAAATGAGGACCCAGTTTGTGGGGGCAATAAGCTGACTTTGTATAAATATACAAAAGTATGAAGGCTATTGCTTAACGCATTGTAAGCCGCCCTGAGTCTCCGGAGAAGGGCGGCATATAAATCAAATGAAAAAAAAAAAGTCTGCAGAGATTCTCAGTCATCCATCTCATGGTTATCCCAAAGGTGCTTTTTCACGAGGCCATTGGACTTTCTGGTTTTTTTCCTTTTGAATCTCTACAGATTTTTAGCAATACAATTTTGGATAAACACCTTTTGAATCTAAAAAGCAGAGACACTTGCCAACAAAAGTGCGTATAGTCAAGGCGATGGTTTTCCCAGTTGCAATGTCTGGCTGGGAAAGTTGGACCATAAGAAAGGCTGAGAAGGCCAAAGAATGGAGGCCTTTGAACGATGGTGCTGGAGAAGACTCCTGCGAGTCCCTTGGACTGCAAGGCCATCCAACCGGTCAGTCCTAGAGGAGATCAACCCTGACTGCTCTTTAGAAGGCCAGATCCTGAAGATGAAACTCAAATACTTTGGTCACCTCATGAGAAGGAAGGACTCACTGGAGAAGAGCCTAATGCTGGGAACGATGGAGGGCAAAAGAAGAAGGGACAACAGAGAATGAGGTGGCTGGATGGAGTCACTGAAGCAGTAGGCGTGAGTTAAATGGACTCCAGAGGACAGGAAGGCCTGGAGGAACGTTGTCCATGGGGGTCGCGATGGGTCGGACACGACTTCGCAGCTAACACCCCTTTGAATGGTGTGGAGTAGGAATGGATTTCTGGAGAGGGAGGAAGGCAGACTACAGGAACCAGGAGCATCACTCAAATGACCATGAGGACACAGGTAATCCTCCAAGGGCTTCAACGACCCTCAAAAACAGGGGTGTCAAACTCAATTTCATTGAGGGCCGCATCAGGATTGTGTTTGACCTTGGGGAGCCGGGATGGGCGTGGACAGGGTGGGCGTGGCCAGCTTGACGTCACTCGGGTCGGTGGCACCTGTGGCGGCCCAAGCGCTCTGCCAGGGAAAATGGGCTCCTGAGCCCCATTTTCGGCTGCGATGGTCTCCTGCGACCCTCTGCGAGCTCCGTTTTCGCTGGCGGAGGCACTGAGGGCCGGTCCTTCGCTGTTTCCAGGGCAGCCCCGCTGGCCAGATCTAAGCACCTTGGAGCTTGAGTTTGACACCCCTGCTCTAAAAGGATGCAAATGTCCAGCTGTCTGCAAGGAATATAAATCCTTCCATTCCCCACTATCCTGTCAGAGCTGAAGAAGCTTCTGGGATGAAGAAGCTTCTTCAAAAGAAAAAAATAAATCCAGTTGTCTCCTGAGAAAGCAGTTATAGAATAGAGTAGAATAAAATAGCATAGGAATAGGAGGAGTAGGAGTAGGAGTAGGAATAGAATAGAATAGGATGGGATGGGATGGGATGGGATGGAATATGGAATGGAATGGAATGGAATATGGAATGGAATGCGATGGGATGGGATGGGATGGGATGGAATATGGAATGGAATGGAATGGAATATGGAATGGGATGGGATGGGATGGGATGGGATGGAATGCTTTAGAAAACTGGAAAACTCTGATGGAACTTTGGGGGAAGTTGAGGCAATATCTTCATGAGTGACTGCCAATTCCAGCAGTTGTGTTAATAATATAAATATTAGCATAATAATCTGATGTAATAAGAAGTTTAAATAATGACATCAGGAAAATGCTTTCCTTATTAAACTTTTTTAAAAAAATTTCTTTGACTAGCCAATGTCTAAACGGAACAATGAAATGCAATGAAGCACCAGCTGTCCCAGCAGGTAACTTTCTTGACTCATTTAGAATAACAATTACCAAGTATGTCTTTCTTTTTTCTTACTTGCAGAAATTATGTTCAATGTCAAAAGAAGGGATTAAAATTTGTACCCATATATCTAACTGTGCTTACCAAATCTTTTTCTGCATAGCTCTTTGTAAGCCATTATTTTCAGCCTTATCTATCTATCTGCCCTTAAACATCTTTAATCTTTTCTTTCTATCTTTATCTTGAAAAAATGCTTTGAAAAGTTAAAAAAAAAAAGTTGGCCACGCCCACTCAGTCACATTACCCCCACCACCACCAAGCCACACCCACAGAACCAGTAGTAACATTTTTTATTTATTTATTTATTTTTATATGCTGCCCTTCTCCGGAGACTCAAGGCGGCTTACAATGCGTTAAGCAATGGCCTTCATACTTTTGTATATTTATACAAAGTCAGCTTATTGCCCCACAAACCAGGTCCTCATTTTACCCACCTTAGAAAGGATGGAAGGCTGAGTCAACCTTGAGCCTGGTGAGAATTGAACTCGCAGTAATTGCAGGCAGTTGGATGTTAAATGCTGCCTTAGTAGGAGGCATTAGCCTCCTACACCACTCAGGCTCAGGGGTGAAATTTTACATTTCACCCCTGCTTATACTCAGAAAAATACGGCATTTATAGTCCTGCAGATAAGGCTGAGAAAGAAAAGGATAAGAGTCACAATCGGTGGGTATCCCTTGCTTCTACAAACAACGCAAGTGAGGATGTCCATGTTTCTTCCTTGGTGAGCCTCATTCAGTTCTTGGGAGTACGAGATGCTACATGGCCACGCAAGGTACCTCATCAAAGTAAAACTAATCACCTCTTCATGAGGTCAAGGTATGGACCCAGAGGTGGGCTTCACATAATTTAGCAACCGGTTCACCCCAGCACTGAAAATGTGAGTGCACGCACCTTCCGTGCATGTGTGCAACCTTCTGCACACATGCTTTGCTTTCGCGCAGGGTTGAACACATGTGCACAGCTTTAAAAACACAGCTAAATGGGACAGCATAGCACCGGAGCGGGTGAGCAGGTGGATGGGGATGGGCTTCCCACAGGTTACAGCTACAAGTTTGCTTGAACTAGCACGAACCGGCTGAATCCCACTCCTGTATGGACCCCACCATTGAAAAGATCTAATGCAGTTCCGTTCCTCAACTAGTTACAAATAATTATTCTAGGGGTATATCTAGTCTAACAAAGAGAAGGACTAGGGGTGGCATGATAAGCAGTCTTTCAATACTCGTCAACCTATTCTCCAAAGCACCAGAGGGCAGGACAAGAAGTAAGGGATGGAAGCTAATCAAAGAGAGATCCAACCTAGAACTAAGGAGAAATTTTGTTCTGACCCAGCTTCTCAAACACGACAAACCCCCTGTATTTTCAATCAATGATTCCTTTATTAGTAGCACCAGCAGCCCCGGCAAAATGTTCCTCTCTCAACAAGTCTGTCCGGCATGGAGATGAATAGTTGTCTGCCACATCTATTCATCTCTGCCCTCCGCCTTTTATCCCCAGAGCTAGGGGGGGGTTTTTTCGCTCAGTAGTGGATTCCTCCCGGTTCGGTCCGGTTTGGCCGAGCCGGTAGCGGTGATGATATGACGTCACCGAACCGGTTCTCCCCCCCGCCCTCCCCCCCCACATTATTCTTACCTTTTATTTGGTCCACCCCCAATCTATTGCTGCCTCCTGAGTCCCAGCTGATGACTAGAGGGAAAAAAAACTGTTTAAACTCTTGCCGCGGGGCTTCAAAGGGCCGTCCTACAGCTGATCAGTGTTAAAAGCAAACAAATGAGTCGGGTCGTAAGTGCGAGGACTGCTCGTAAGTGTGAGGACCTTCCAGAAATGACACTCACCAGCTAGCCACGCCCACCTAGTCACATGACCTCCAAGCCATACCCACAAAATAAGTCACGCCCACAGAACCGGTAGTAAAAAATTTAGAACCCACCCCTGGTTTCACTAGTCACAGTGGCTCTTCCTTCCCAAGGACCGGCCCACAGATTTCCACTGCTCTCCTCTCCTCTGCCTTCTGTGCAGCATCAGGAACTGGACCCAGCTGTTCCTCCTCTTCCTCATCAGCCACCTCCAGACCTGGGGGCTGTTGATTCTCCATCTGAGGGCTGATGGATGGTCCAGGCTCCACCTCTGTCTCTGTCTCTTTCTGCCAGCTCCATTCCCTCTTCCCCCTCGGAGCTCTCAAGTTGCCTTGACGCTGATCCTGACTCCCATGCCTCCTCCTCATCTGATTCAGCTGCTGGAGGGGCCACAACAACAAATTGAGACAGTGAGAACAATCCAACAGAGGAACGGGTTGCCTTGAGAACCCATGGATCCATGAGAAGTGTATACTAATGTGAGATAATTTTAAGAAAACTTATTATTTGTTGTAATATGTCTTAACTATATTTTGCAAACAAAGTTAGACTGTTGACTATGATTGATTAACATATTACTGAATGAAGCTATGAAATACACAGATGATAGAGATAAATTGTGATCTAATTTAACAAATATGGGAAATGATGATTATTATGAAACATAATGAGAATTAATTTTGATGAATATGCTGAGATATAGAGATTAAATAGATAATTATGATGTAAGGGAAAACTAAAACAATGAGGTGAAGGATACTAACTAGATAAGAGTTAGAGACTCAGAGGAAGTAAGTGGGAAAATAAATAAAATGCTGGAAATCAGCCAAACAATGGCAGGAGAGTTGGAGGAGACTATGCTGGAAATCAGCCAAACAGAAAATGCTGGAAATCAGCCAATAAAAATGCTGGAAATCAGCCAAGCAATAGGAGGAGAGTTGGAGAAAAATATGCTGGAAATCAGCCAAACAATGGAAGGAGCTCTGGAGGAGATTATGCTAGAAATTAGCCAAATAAAATATGCTGGAAATCAGCCAAACAATGGAAGGAGTTCTGGAGGAGATTATGCTAGAAATCAGCCTAACAATGAGAACCCATGGATCCATCATCACTGGCAGTTTTCAAGAAGAGATTAGACCGCCATTTGTCCAAAATGGTGTAGGGTCTCCACCTCAAGCAGAGGGGTTGGATTAGAATATCTCCAGTTGTTATCCTGTGTTCTATCCATGGCTCTCTTTTTTGTTTTACCTCACGAATGTTATTTCTTGGCTGTAGATTTTTCACGGAAGCGAACGAACTGGGAGAACCTGAACTATCGTGTAGTGTGACAGCCCCTCGCGGCGTTCTGGAACATCTCACAGTCACCGTTGTCAATGATTTAAGTCCCTTCGTTGTGAATGAGGCAGAAGAACTTGTCAGCAACGTCGTATCTGTCGAGCGCTCGTCGGTTGACCAATGCAACATTTCCCCAATCAGCATCGCAATCCCGTTTACTTCCCGTTACAGAGGAATGTATAAAGACGTAATGGTGAAAGTGAGCGACATAAACTTCCAGTCCACGTATTTAACTCCTACCTCTTTGGAAGGACATCAAGGCAGCCAGAAGGTGAGGGAACTCTTGAACCAAAATCTTGCTTGAATTGTAGGGCAGAAGAAAATGCTATTTAAATACTGGTTTTTCTCCTTTTGATTTCATGCAGGGGTCAGGCGCTGTGGTGAAAACCGGTCAGCTTGGTATCTTCTCTGTGGTTTCATGCTTGAAGAAGGAAACGTGGACCATTCCGAGGAGAGGACTTTCGCGAAAGCTTAACATGGATCCTAGAATTTCGTTTTGCTATCCCCCATCAACGCTCAGTTCTCGAGTCACAGTGGACCTCAAGGTATGTTTGAAAAAGAAACGTCTTCTCGGACGTGAGCAGGTTTTTCGCCAACCAAAATACATCAAAACGTTTGGATTGGAAGAGATCGAGAATAAAAAATTTTTTAATAGCTAATCATTCATACCAAGGATGACTTCCTTCAATGAAGGGGAAAAAAATATCTAGGCTTTTGTAAATTGAGTGATCTACTTTAAGGCCACTGGTAATATTGTCCTTTAGTAGCAGATCTCTATGCAATCTTACCTACCTACCTATAGTACCTACCTTTTCTTTCTTTCTTTCTTTCTTTCTTTCTTTCTTTCTTTCTTTCCTTTCATTTCCTTTCTTTTCTTTTCCTTCCTTCCTTTTTTCCTTCCTTTTTCCTTTCCCTTCCTTCCCTTCCTTCCTTTCCTTCCTTTATCTCATTCTCCCTCCCTCCCTCCCTCCCTTCCTTCTTTCCTTTCCTCCCTTCCTTTTTTCCTTCCTTCCATTCTCCCTTCCTTCCATTCTCCCTTCCTTCCTTCCTTCCTCCCTCCCTCCCTTCCCTTCCCTTCCCTTCCTTCATCTCATTCTCCCTTCCTTCTTTTCCTCTTTTCTTCCTCTTTTCCTTTCTTTTCCTTCCTTCCTTTCCTTCCTTCACCCATTCCTCCCTCCTTCCCTTCCTTCCTTCCATCTGAAAAATAATTTAGGGTTCTACGGGCTGGGGTGATGCAAGAGCAAATAAAAGAAAAATGAAATCCAGACACTGAGAAAAGAGATTTATTCACAAGAGGAGATCTGCTCTTGAGGGTAGACTACTAAGAAAATGGGGTGCAGAGGCTTGGTTTTATAAGGGGACTGTCCTTGGTGTGAGCAAGGGGATGTCATTTGTGTATGTGCTGGTTTTAACACGTTCTTCCCATGAAATTTGGTTTGATCCTGATCTGTGTGAAATCCAGAAAGGAAGATTGCCCTAAAATCACCGGAGGATTCCACTTCTGGCATCTTCCTTACCCCAAGGGAGTTCCTGTTCTTTGAGGTCATTAGTGGGATCCTAGTCTTGTGTTTATTCTGGGGCTGACCTGCCATTAAAAGTTCAGAGGGCTACTAAAAAGAAGGGGGTGGAGCACAGATCAGAGGCCTTTTCATTTTCCTTCCTTCCTTCCTTCCTTCCTTCCTTCCTTCCTTCCTTCCTTCCTATTAGCCCAAAATAAGACATCCCCTGATAATAAGCCCAATCGGGCTTTTGAGCACATGGCAATAAGGCCAAGCGCTTATTTCAGGGTTCAAAAAAATATATAAGACAGGGTCTTATTTTCGGGGGAACACGGTATCTGTCACCCATCTATCTTGATCATCTCATTTACCTATCTGTCCAATTTTGAGGTCCCCTGAGAAAAGAAAAAGAAGAAAAGGCATAATCGATCTTCTTAACCATGTTCTTAAAAACAAGCTTGCAAAATGGGATGGGAAGTTACAGGATGGGGAACTAATTCTGCCCTTTGAGAGATTCCGGCCACATTTCAAAAAAGGATTTGAAAAATGATGTTAATAGATTCCTCCTTGTTTAGAGCACAGCAGATGCTTAAAGGGATTTCTTTACATGAAAAAAACCAGAAGCTGTCATTCAGTTCATCCCTGGGTGGCAGCAATAGCTTATGAAAGAGGATTAAGAAGATATTCATTACAGAATGTCTGTTACGCAGTTCAGTTCGTCTCCGTTATCAGGTTAAATGATTAAAAACAAACAAATGCCTCCTTTCCCCTTGTTGAAAAGGAAAAGATCCTTCTGCATGCTACTCATGTTCCCCTAGAGCCATGATGGCGAACCTATGGCACCCGTGCCACAAGTGGCACGTGGAGCCATGTCGCCTGGCACGCCAGCTTAGCTATGGCGTGCATGCACGCGTCAGCCAGCTAATTTTTGGGCTTTCTGGGCCCACCAGAAGTAAGGAAAGGGCCTGGGGGTGGGATGGGGAAGGCTGTTTTCGCCCTCCCCAGATGCATAGAGAGGATCTGGAGCCAGGTGAGACAGAAAAACGGGCCTACCGGGACATCGCGTGCCAGGAGCGGGGGAGAGGGGGGGTCACACACACATGCACAGGGCAGGGTGCATAGAATTATGGGTGTGGGCACGCTCACGCGGGAACCTCCCCCACCCACCCCCTTCCTGGCACGTGATGGCAAAAAGGTTAGCCATCACTGCCCTAGAGCAAAAGAGCAAGATGCATTTTCTTCTATTAATAATCTGAAATCATTCAGTTATATGGACAGCAGTAGCAATAGCGCTTCGATTTATATACCTCTTCACAGGGCTCTACAGCCCAGTGGTGAAATTTTAAAAATTCCCCTACCGGTTCTGTGGGCGTGGCTTGTTGGGGGGGAAGGTCATGTGACAGGGTGGGCGTGGCCAACTCGACATCACTCACATTGAGGGGCTCTTCACCGGCCCCTCCCCTCCCAGCCGCTCCTTGTCGCGAATAGCAGGAAAATGAGGAGGGGAATATTCCTGCCTACCATCCTTCCCTCAATCTGTGCTGAGATTGAGGAATGGACGACAGGCAGGAAAATCCCCTTCCCCATTTTCCTGCCTTTCACGAAAATGGCTCCATTCCAGCTGCTCCCCCCTGTCCCCCTCCTTCCTGGGGTCTACCTTAAAGGGACAGGATGCAGCAGCTCCGTTCTGAATGAAAGGAGAAAAGTTAGCATTCTCTCTGCTGCATTTAACATTGAATTCTGCGGAATATCGAGCGGCCGGAAGAGGTGAGCAGTGACCAGCCGGGCGTGGGTGAATGGGGCTAACGAGGGGTGATTACTATCGGTTCGGTGAACCAATGCCAATAATCCCTAGCGGTTTGCCCAAACCGATCCGAACCGGTCGGATTTCACCCCTGTTAGAGCCCCTCTCTGAGTGATCTGCAGAGTCAGCTCATTGCACCCAACAATCTGGCTCCTCATTTTATCGACCTTGGAAGGATGGAAGGCTGAGTCAACTTTGAGCCAGTCAGGGTCGAACTACAGACAGTTGGCAGAATTAGCCTGCAATACTGCATTCTATTCTATTCTAGTCTAGTCTAGTCTAGTCTAGTCTAGTCTAGTCTAGTCTAGTCTAGTCTAGTCTAGTCCAAGGGATGCGATGGCTCAGTGGCTAAGATGCTGAGTTTGTCAATTGAAAGGGCGGCAGTTCAGCGGTTCGCATCCCTAGTGCCATATAATGGGGTGAGCTCCCATGACTTGTCCCAGCTTCTGCCAACCTAGCAGTTCGAAAGCACGTAAAAAAATGCAAGTAGAAAAATAGGGACCACCTTTGGTGGGAAGGTAACAGCGTTCTGTGCGCCTTTGGCGTGTAGTCATGCCAGCCACATGACCATGGAGACATCTTCAGACAGTGCTGGCTTTTCGGCTTGGAAACGGAGATGAGCACCGCCCCCTAGAGTCGGGAACGACTAACACATATATGCGAAGGGAACCTTTACCTTTACTGCATTCTAACCACTGCGCCACCAAGGCTCTTAACTCTCTCAGATCATAACTCTCAGCACATCCAACAAGCATAACTATTAAAAGCTGATTTCAACATCATACTCAATGTTTATAAACAGCTGATTAATCAACTCAAAGTAATATCAGGTCTTGAATCCACTGAGTAATTAAAACCATCAGTTGTCTTTCCTATGTTGATGGACCAGTCTCTTAGTGATAAGGGAGACTTGGAGAATCCATTTCTGTTGTCCAGTCATCAACTTCTATGCCACAGGGTTTTCATTCAAAATATGATGGATATCCCCACCCTCAGCCCCAAAACTCCCTGCAGTTTGACCTCCCTCCATAAAAAAATTCTAAGGGTTTTGGTATTGGTTTTTTTTGACTGTTAAGTATATGTTTTTAAATTTTCATGCATAATTCCATCAGTTTTGAGACAGCCTTTTTTCCTTAAATCCGTACTATTTAGATCTAAGTCAGGGGTTGGCAACCCGTGTCTCTGGAGCCCCATGTGGCTCTTTCATCCCTCTGTTGCAGCTCCCTGTTGCCGGTCAGTTCCACAATTGGTAGGGCTTTCACTTAGGACAGGTAGAGGAAAAAGGACGCCATGCTAGGAGGAGACTCTATGGTGGGGGAACCGGACTTCCGGTCGGCAGAGGAAAAAGGATGCCATGCTAGGAGGAGACTCTATGGGGGCGGGGGACGGGGACCAGACTTCAGGTCGGTAGAGGAAAAAGGACACCATGCTAGGAAGAGACTCTATGGTGGGGGAACTGGACTTCCAGTCATCTCCAGAATTGAATGGGGGGCTTCCTCAGGGGGCTTCTGGTTAGGACCTTTGTGGCTCTTTGAGTGGTTTAAGGTTGCTAACTCCTGATCTAACTAAAAATTATACCATAATTTGCTCAAACTTTTCTATTTTGTCTGCAAACGTTGTCCAACGTAGAGCAGGCTTTTTCAGATGTATCCAGAAGGGAGATTTAATGAGGATCCCTGCAGAAACATCTCTGCCTTGGCTAATGAGAGAAATTGAATCAGTGTTTCATGTCCTTCTTCATTATCCTTGGTATTCATCTTGGCGCAAGGATTGAATTATGCTTCTGTTAACCAGCTAGCACGAAAATTAAGTAGAAAACCTTTTTTTCTTCCTTGCATTCCAGAATTCTGCTCCATCCCCATTGCAATTAGCAGCATGACCTTTAGGGAAATATGGGCCTCCCTGCGTGAAGATTTAATTTTATTATTTTGGTGTATTGGTGTGAGATATGCGGTGTGTGATAGAACATAAAACATAGAATAACAGAGTTGGAAGGGCTCCTTGGAGATCATCTAGTCCAACTCCCTGCTCGTTACTATTTCAGACAAATGGCTGCCCAGTCCAGTGATGGGGACCCACAACTTCTGAAGATCAACCATTCCACTGGTTGATTGTTCTCACCATTAGGGAATTTTTCCTGAGTTCTAAGTTGCTTCTCTCCTTGATTAGTTTCCATCCGTTGGTTCTTGTAAAGCTCCTTCATCGTTCCATTGAGCCAGTGATTCCTGAGAACAAATATTCAAAACTACCGTTGGAAGAAATATCCCTCTGGCTCAGTTCCAAGCTGGGAGAAAGAAGCTGGAAACAACATGGAGGCTAGTTGGAAAGATGGTTTATTGATGAAGCAGAGCCACCAATCACGCGTGATTCTGGGCAGCTCTCAAAATGGAGTTGAGTAGGAGTAGGAGAGGGGGCTGTACCCAGTGGTGGGATTCAAATAATTTAACAACCGGTTCTCTGCCCTAATGATTTCTTCCAACAACCAGTTCACCAAACTGCTCAGAAAGTTAACAACCGGTTCTCCCGAAGTGGTACGAACTGGCTGAATCCCACCATGGCTGTACCTTCTTTGGGCTTTTTTATTTGAGTTTCCTGTTCCTGTGCAAGATGTCAGGCTTCCGACGGATGCCCTAATTAAATCATGAGCCTCGAGCCAAGCTTCAAAAGAAATCCAGTTATTTATTAGGAGCTTCATGTCTGCACGTTCCAAGGGAAGCCGACTCTGACCCCACGTAATTTACGACCCAGGCATGACCCTGTTTTCCCCCTCCCCCAGAGTGTGTCATCAGTCACATTCACCAACGGAGCAATTTCACGGGTTGTAGAGATCACTCCCCTCCAACCGCTGTGGATAACCCTGGGAGACAGCCTTGAGAGAGATATGTCTGGAATGTGCTTTAGTTTTTGGCTGCTGTGCTGCTTTGTCGGTTTTCCCATCCCCCTTGCCTATGGCAACTCGAGAGCAGGCCAGGGATGCTTTGCGAGTTGACACAAGAACATGTCCTTTAATATTCTATTGGCTGTTGTTAGATTCCTATGGGGTCATGTAGGGGTTATGTAGGGGTCATAGCTGGCTCTATAGGCAAAAGAGGAAATGGAAATCCTAGGCTCTTGTCTGAGCTAATTGAAGTTTGGAATGCTCTGGGGTGATGCAATGAAGTGGCTTTGGTTCTGAAAGGGAGTTGGGCAATTCCTAGTGTGGCTTAACGGCTTTGTCCTGTGTTGGATCTTAGGTGAGGGGCTAATCCTACCATTCTGCCTTTGTTCAGACTTTGCTGGAGGGAGTTTCAAACTATCCTGTCTTGAATGGATTAACAAATCTCCATTTCTAAAAGCTGGCCTCCTCAGTTTCTGCTTGGGGGAGCAGGGAGTCTGGGGCTGCTTCCTGCCTCTAAAAAAACATGTTTCTCCATTTCTCATCTAGGGAAATATAATAATCTGCCTTTTTTTTTTTTAATATTCCTCAAAATATTTCACTATTCTAGGAGAGGGGTTTTTTCCACAATATCTTGAATGAGAGCTGATAATGATAATCATGCCCGTAATTGCTTATTTGTACCCTATGACTATCATTAAGTGTTGTACCTTATGATTCTTAACAAATGTATCTTTTCTCTTTATGTACACTGAGAGTATATGCACCAAAGACAAATTCCTTGTTTGTCCAATCACACTTGGTCAGTAAAGAATTTTAATCTAACCTAATCTAATAATATTAATATTAATTCTATGCAGGTGCAGCCGATTGATCAATCCACACTTTCAATATTGAAAACAAAACATGATGAATATTATTCAGTCATGTCAACCAGCTCTTTGGTCCACCTGGAATATTCTACATCTCTGCCATTCAACAGAGCTATCACTGTGGTCCTACCTTGCCCTCCAAATCAAGAAAAACGAAGAGAGGGTATTGAGACAGATGCCGGAAGAGCGACGAGTGCTTCTATCCCCACAGTTGCAAGCACTCATAATTTCCGGTGAGAAATAAGAAAGGGCTCATTCTTGGAAAATGCTCAGGTAGACCCAGAATCCATAAATGATTTGCCGTTGTCGTCTTCTTTGGCTCTTCAAATTTAACTGTGGAGAGAAGGCAATCTTTCTAACATCTCAAGATGTTGAGAGACAAAACCGTGATGGTGAACCTATGGCACGCATGTCACAGGTGGCACACCACATTCGTGTGTGTGTGTGCGCGCTTTGGGCACTCAGCACCAAAAAGGTTAACCATCACCGGACTAGAACATGGCCTGAAGCACTGTTGAGAAAACATTGTTCTAGACTAGGGAAACAAAACTTTGTAGATGTTAAGGAAATGAATGTGGTGCTTATGGATTGCCTCTTGGTAGGCAGAAGCATAGGGGTTCTAAATATATATATATATAGGTAGAACCTGGCTAGAAAGAAATGCACATAAAACCTACGAAAAAGAAAGAAAAAGAAACATTGTACCTTTATAGGGAGGATACATGAGAAGAGGGTGTGGCTCGCTGACGAAGCCTTATAAGGCAGAAATGGATCTATCTGAGTCTCCCAAAAAGCAGCACAGAGTTTGCTGTAAAAAGCGCAGAAGCTTTTGGTGCACTCTGATCTTGATTATTTTTTTGCAGACGTTCCACTACCCAACTAGGTAACATCATCAGCTGTGCTAAAAGGAAACAGGGTTTATATATCAGTAGCTTGTCCTGTCAGTCTTGGTGGCAATGTTCTTGGTAGTTCCTTGATTAGGCTGGTATTTACTGTTTGGTTATTAGTTTGAGTTGGTAGGTCCCTGATGGTGGTATTGTTTACTGTTTCATGTTAATCTCTGCTTATCTAGATGTTGATTGATTGATTATTTATTTATTTATTGATTGATTGATTGATTGATTGATTGATTGATTGATTCGATTTATATGCCGCCCTTCTCCGGAGACTCAGGGCGGCTTACAATGCGTTAAGCAATAGCCTTCATACTTTTGTATACACCTGCTTAGTAGGGCTTTTTGCCCCCCCCTAAGCAGTGTTCTATTTTATACAAAGTCAGCTTATTGCCCCCACAAACTGGGTCCTCATTTTACCTGCCTTGAAAGGATGGAAGGCTGAGTCAACCTTGAGCCTGGGGAGAATTGAACTCGCAGTAATTGCAGGCAGCTGGCAGCTAAGTGCTACTTTACCAGCAGCAGTTTAGTCTGCTGCACCACCAGGCTCCTGTTAGGAGGCGTTGTAGTCTTTTAGCTTTTTGATTGTCTCTTTTGAATGGTATGTAGATGTTGTTTGTCTCTATATGCCTGCTGATGGCTGATTTGGCTGAGTGCCAGGTTTCCAGGAATTCTCTAGCATTTTTGGACTTACTAGCTACTCCCTTCTAACACTGATGATGTTACTTGTTTGGGTAATGAAATGTCTGTAAGAAAACAACCAAGGTCCAAGAGCAAAGACCTCACAGTTCAACCCTGAGCTACAAATATTCTCTTCTATTGGTAATCTGACGTCCTTCAGTTGTATGGATCGTAACTCTCAGTATCTCTAACCGGGATAACCCTAGGTTATGCTGGCTAATGATCCTGGGATCCATAAATTATTCCAGCTAATGATCATGGGAGATGTAGTTTAATGCATTTGGAAAGGAAAAAGATGAAGAAAACTGATTTAAACTTCTACCGTGTTTCCCCGAAAATAAGTCAGGACCTGCTGGATTTCACTCCTGATTTGTACTGATGTAAAAGGTGAAAATGGATGGAATGATCTGCTCTCTCTGCTCCTACTTCCAGAACTGAAAGAGGATTAATACCGCATTCCCCCGAAAATAAGACCGAGTTTTATATTAATTTTTGCTCCAAAAGACGCATTAGGATTTATTTTCTGGTTAGGTCTTAATTTGGGGGAAATATGATACTAAATGCATCCATCTGGCTGACAATCTTAACTGGGGCTTATTTTGGGGGTAGGGCTTATATTACGAGCATCCTGAAAAATCATGCTAGGACTTCTTTTCCGGTTAGGTCTTATTTTCGGGGAAACAGGGTATATATTGACCTATGATCTGTCAGGCATTGCCAACTTGAACAATAGCAACTTAAGTTCATTAAAAGTCAATCAGAACTTCTTAGCAATCTTTCTGAGGTAGAGGGTTTTTTTTTTTTTTTTTTTTTGCCTTTGTATAATTTTAATGAAAAATTGTAGAAACCTTTCAATCCCCCCCAGTGTATCTGGCTTTATCTATAATGAAAATTTAATTAAAAATATACCAAAACAGTTTTCACATCCTATAATCCCCAGCTGACTTTCTCTTTAGTCTTTCTGGCTGGGACATTTTGAAAGCTGAAAACTGGGGCCATGAAAGAAATACACATTAGTTGCAGTTAAAAAAATTCTAGTTGGTAAGGCTAGGAAGGTCTCCTTCAAAAGAAAAGTTGGCTTTGGATCACAAAACCCAAATAGTAAGAAGATGAGTAAAGCAGAAGAAACAGAGAAGTTGTCAGGTTACGATGTCGTCTCAAATAAATTGCATTTCCAAACAAAAAGTCTCTGATTAAATCTTTCGTTTATTGAGTACAACGATCTGTCCCCGACTTCATCATAGCCGAAACTGACCCTCCGACCCCAAACCCTTCCCTTTCCGTTCCCCAATTCTCAGCGTTTCATTGGCCATCTTCCAAGTCAGTCTCCCCATCTCCTGACTTCAACTCACAGGAATGTCCCCCCTCCCATCCCATCTCCTAGGGGATATTATCTACAGAGAAAATAAGTAGGTGAAAAGTCAAGCCTCTTCTTCTTCTCTTTATGGCAGCACTAGAATGCTGACAGAAGTATGTATGGAGGTATATTCTTTACCCTACCTTTGTGATTTTTCCAGAGGTCTGAGTGCCTCCCCAAGAAAACACAGGGAGAACCTGAAGGAACCACTGAAAGTCCTGGGCTACAGAAACAGTGAAGAAGAATGGATCTTACTGGATGACATCGCCGTGCGAAATGCAAGGAACGGTCTTGTGTCATTTGACTTAGACGAACCCTTAGAGAGGTGAGATGGATTCGTCAAATGTGTAGATCAGGGGCGTCAAACTCAATTTCATTGAGGGCTGCATCAGGATTGTGCTTGACCTCAGGGCGTGGCCAGGGTGGGAATGGCCAGCATGTCACTAGTGTCAGGGTGTGCCTGTGGTGGCCCTAGCACTCTACCAGTGAAAACAAGCTCTGGAGCTCCATTTTTGATAACCTCCTGCAACCCTCTGCCAGTAAAAATGGAGCTCGGGGGCGCACATGCGACCTTTACGAGCTCCGTTTTTGACTGGGATGGCTTCCTGCAACCCTCTGCCAGAGAAAACAGAACTCGGGAGGGCTGTACACAGCCCTCGCAAGCTCTCTTTTCACTGGCAGAGAAACTGCGGGCTGGTCCATCGGTGTTTCTAGGTTGGCCCCGTGGGCCAGATCTAAGTACCCCATGGTTTGACACCCCTGGTGTAGATGAATGGGATGTCACTGATTTACCCTGTCCTACATGACATTCCAAAATATCGAACCCATTGATTGTGAAAGCAGCATGACATTTACCCTGTTTCCCTGAAAATAGGACCCAGCTAGAAAATAAGCCCTAGCATGATTTTTCAGGATGCTCGTAATATAAGCCCTACCCCAAAATAAGCCCCAGTTAAGATTGTCAGCCAGATGGATGCATTTAGTATTGTATTTTCTCCAAAATAAGACCTAACCAGAAAATAAGCCTTTTTTTTTTAAGTGTTTTTAAGTGTTTTGTTTATTGTTTTTAATTAATGGGGCCAAATTTATATATGTATATTTTAACTGTATTTTAATATTTGTATTTGATGTTTTTACTTGGCTGTTCACCGCCCTGAGTCCTCAGGGAGAAGGGCGGTATACAAATTCAAAATAAAATAAAATAAATAAATAAATAAATAAATAAATAAAATAAAATAAAATAAAAAATAAAAATAATGCATCTTTTGAAGCAAATAATATAAAACCCGGTCTTATTTTCGGGGGAATGCGGCATTAATCCTCTTTCAGTTCTGGAAGTAAGAGCAGAGAGAGCAGATCATTCCATCCATTTTCAACTTTTACATCAGTACAGATCGGGGTGAAATCCTACTCCAATGTTTTCTTTGCTTTGTCACCATCCTAGTCTTCCTCTTTATGCAGATTTATTGTCGTCCGCTTATCTTCTGCTATGGACAACGGACATCTCGTTCAGTTTATTCAGAATCTGGAACACGCCATCCACAACGTCATGGTGAAGGTGGTACTGTGGCAGAATAAAGACGACCCTTACAAGATCCTTGTCTTACTGGTTCCCTCTAAAGAATTAAGCATGGAGCTGCATTCTCTACGTGAGGAAGGATATTGCGGCCCTCCAGAACCTTCCAAGACATTTAAGATGAGGGAAGGAGAGCAGGTTTCCTTTAGATTCAGTGGCAATATTTTTGCTTCAGGTAAATCAAGTTTAATCATTCAAAATTCCATTCCGCAGATCGTTGCAGGCTATCGGTCTTGCTGTTTGGACTTTACAAATGAGACTTTCAAAGATAAGAAAAAATAGTTTTGCTTTCTTGACAGGGATATTTTGTGTGTGAGCAACTTCTTCGGTCATTTTTCTATAATAAGCACTCCATTGTTTTGTGAATTAGTGAATTTATGGATTTTATGATTGATGCCTCCTGGTATTTATAGGATCTTAATCGGTTCTAGCACTAAAGTTCTGTTCAGATGTGCACTTTGCACTGACAGGAACAAATCACCACAGTATCCCCTCCCCCAAATATGCAGATTAGATCAAGGGTGGACTCCTGAGGGTTCGGCAGGATTTGGGAGATCCTTTAGCCAAGGATTGCTGGTGTTCAGCGAACCCCCAAATGCCATCCCTGGCTGGCCACACCCACCCTGCCCCACCCCTCCCAGGAGTCTCCACACCGCCCGTTCATCATTCCAAGTAAGTGCAGGGATCACGTGGAGGGTCTGGGAGGGGGAAAAACTGGACTACTGGAAGTTCTGGAAGTCCAGAAACAGGCCTGTTTCTGGCCTCCGGAGGGCCTCCAGACCCTGGGGGAAGCAGTTTTTGCCCTCCCTGAGGCTTGAGGAAATGCTCCAGAGCTAAAGGAGGGTGAAAAATGGGCCTCCTGGAAATTCCAGAAGTCCAGAAACGGGCCTGTTTCTAGCTTCCCGACGGCCTCCAGATCTCAGGGAAAGCAGTTTCCCCCCCCCCTCTGGGGCCCGGGGAAACGCTCCGGAGCTAAAGAAGGGTAAAAATGGGCCTCCTGGAAGTTCCAGAACTCCAGAAACGGGCCTGTTTCTGGCCTCTGGAGGGCCTCCAGACCCCGGGGAAAGCAGTTTTTGCCCTCCTGGAGGCTCGAGAAAAGCCTCCGGAGCCTGGGGAGGGTGAAACACACATACACCCTGCTGTGGTACAGGCAGCTGACTAGGCCATGCCCACCATGGCAACGCCCACCCAGTAACGGGGAACCGAACCCGTTGCTAAAGGATCTGAAGCACACCTCTGGATTAGATAAGTCTGTGCTTCCTAAATATATATGTGAGGCATTTATTTGAAAAACAAGAAAACCGTTTACTTCAGTCTTCCTTATTTTCTTGTCGCTTACCATTTCATCACTGGGGCTTCAGAATAAACATGATAAATGCAATAAACGTACATAAAGACATTCTGCTGGTTCTGATTTAAATCTCTTAGGGTTAGTCAGTCCCCAAAGTTCCACAGTTCTGAAAGATGGAGGAGGCCCACTTTCAGTGAACTCAAGAACCTTAACAGGCCATCAAGACAATCCCTTCTCCCTTTGTTGTTGTTGTTGTTAGTTGCAAAGTCATGTCCGACCCATCATGACCCCATGGACAATGTTCCTCCAGGCCTTCCTGTCCTCTATCATCCCCCGGAGACCATTTAATCTCACGTCAACTGCTTCAGTGACTCCATCCAGCCACCTCGTTCTCTGCTGTCCCCTTCTTCTTTTGCCCTCCATCTTTCCCAGCATTAGGCTCTTCTCCAATGAGTCCTTCCTTCTCATTAAGTGGCCAAAGTATTTGAGTTTCATCTTCAGGATCTGGCCTTCTAAAGAGCAGTCAGGGTTGATCTCCTCTAGGACTGACCAATTTGATTGCCTTGCAGTCCAAGGGACTCGCAGGAGTCTTCTCCAGCACCAGAGTTCAAAGGCCTCAATTCTTTGACGATCAGCCTTCCTTATGGTCCAACTTTCACAGCCATACATCCAACTGGGAAAACCAGAGCCTTGACTATGCACACTTTTGTTGGCAGGGTGATGTCTCTGCTTTTTAGTGTTCTCCCTTAACCCCTCCATATCTTTGTCCTAAATTTTGATTACTTCTAATTGGATTTATAACCCTCTTTTTTGTGTGTCACCTGAAAGGGAGAGAGAAGACAATGAAGGCAGCCGACAATGAGAAAGAATCATGGGCGAATCAAATTCATGCAAACCACAATCGACACACAAGGAGAACGCAGTCCAGTCATTGCTAACACAAAGTGTAATCAGCTTGTAACAAAACACCAGCTCTACCATCTATCTGATGGGTGAAATGAGCTAGTGCCAGATAAACCACATCCATCAGAAAATGATTTTTTTTAAAAAAGAGAGAGGCCTAACCAGTCTCTTCCTCACATCCTGGCTGCATTATTTTCGGCTTATCTGTTTTCGCCACATGTCTAAAGAGGATGTTTGAATAAATCTCTTTCCCCTGCTTTTTTTTTTCTTCATTTTTTTGGAGGGGTGGTGTCTAATAGATTGACAAGACACCATTCTTAGCCCAACAGCTAGATTCCAAAAAAAATGAGGTAACCTTGATGCCAGTTTGAAATCGTTTTTGTTGGGTATCTTCCCACAAAAATATAATAAAGGGAATACATATTTAATTTTTTATGTGTTAACAGCGGCTAGAATTGTGTTTGCACAACAGTGGAAAAACAAAGAGATCCCTACAGATGAAAATATATTAAAAAAAATCTATAGCTTTCTAAAATTAAAATTTTAAGCACCCTTTTCCTGTTTATTCTATTTTTTTTAAAGAAGTACTTAAATTCCTCTTTGAAACATCTTTTGCTAAAGATTGGAAAGAAACTCACCCAGTGCTATAAAACATATTGATGGAAAGATTTTTTGTAGCAGAAAAGCAGTTAACAACCAATTTCTGAAAGTGTTTAGAAAAGCAACAACGTGAATTTAGTGTCCTTTCTACTCTCCCATTTTAGAAAATGTGAAAATAAATAAATAAAAAGGGTAAGTACGGTTACTCCTTGGGTAGTTAATTATTTCCCAAACAATTAAAAAAACAAACAGAATTTGGCAATAAATAAATAAATAAATGTTTCAACACTTCAAATCAGGAACAAGTAGTGTTTTGATGGCTGGTGTAGTGTTATTTTTTATAGTGTGGTGACTAAAACTGGACACAGTACTCTAGGTATGGTCTTACTAGGGTTTCATACAGCAGTATTAGTACCTCACTTGATCTTGATTGTATCCCTCTGTTAATGCAATTTAGAATTGCATTGGCTTTTTTAGTTGCCGCTGCACACTGCTGGCTCCTATTTAGCTGATTGTCCACTAAGATTCCAAGATCCCTCTCACAGTCACTGCTATTAAGCCTGGTTTCCCCCAGTTTATATTAATGTGGATAAAAGAAGGAATCATACAGAGACAGCTACATGAACTCTAGGAAACCCTCTCTATTCACATTATTATAAGAGAGAAACGTGCTTGTTGGAGATTATATTAAAAATCAGCTAAACCTCAGTAAGTGGTAATATATCTTCTGATGAGACCTAGATGTCACGGAAGGACAGCCATATGGAAAACATCTGAGTGACCTCACTGTGAATGACACAAGGACATATATGTTACAAAGAGTTACTTAATCCAATAAATTTACCCAAGGACAGCAGTAAATTTCCCATTAGCAACCACAGCACTTAAGGAAGGTTGTCTAAGCTAAGATAATCTTATAAACTAAAAATAATGGTTTACTAATGGTTTAGTAATTAGGAAGTGTGTCAATTATCATATGACAGGTGTGTGTTAGCCATATATGGAGAATGTATGATCTCATGTTAATCATATATGGAAAATGCATGATCTCACCAAATCCTTTGTCTTAGAAATGTATAAAAACAGTTGTATCAGAGTTCTTTCCTTGTTCAAAGCTTCAGGTACAAATCTGGCTCTGAACCTTGCGCAATAAAACTGTCTCTGGCTGACCCAGAAATGTTGTTTGGTCTCATCATTCCATAACAATATGTGTGCTTTTGGTTTTTCTTACCTAAGTGTAAGACTTTACTTTTTTCTAGACATTAGCGTGCCAATGTTTAGAAATGTTTAAGAGCCGCAGTGGCGCAGTGGTTAGAGTGCAGTACTTGCAGGCTACTTCTGCTGACTACCGGCTGCCTGCAATTTGGCAAGTTCGAATCTCACCAGGCTTAAGGTTGACTCAGCCTTCCATCCTTCCAAGGTGGGTAAAATGAGGACCCAAATTGTTGGGGGCAATATGCTGACTCTTAGAGAGGGCTATAAAGCACTGTGAAGTGGTATATAAGTCTAAATTCTATTGCTAGTCCTTCCTTCCTTCCTTCCTTCCTTCCTTCCTTCCTTCCTTCCTTCCTTCCTTCCTTCCTCCCTCCCTCCCTCCCTCCCTCCCTCCCTTCCTTCCTTCCTTCCTTCCTTCCATGATGCCACAGTAGTTAGAATGCAGCATTGCAAGCTAATTCTGCTGACTGCAGCAGCTCGATCCTAACCAGTTAAAGGTTTACTCAGCCTTCGGTCCTCCTGAGGTCGGTAAAATGAGGACCCAGATTGTTGGGGGCAAGATGCTGACTCTGTAAACTGCTTAGAGAGGGCTGTAAAAAGCACCGTGAAGCGGTAAATAAGTCTAAGTGCTAAGTGCTATCTTATGATCAAAGCCAATTATGACATCGGCAAAAGAACACTTCAAGAATCCTTACCAGGGCTGCAGAAGTTTTCAAAAGTTGAAATTAAAATTGGAAACACCATGCATGCATGAAGATAGGGGATTCAATTCAACACTGTTTCCCCCCCCCCACCCCCAAATCTGAAATGTCGTGATCTACGAAGCAATGCACAAAAAGTTTCAGGACCAAACTCTACTTGAAACTTGAAGGAGAAGGACCTACAACTCCAATAAAGAAGAATATTTGTAGCGCAGGATTGAAAACAAGGGGTCCTTGGTGCTCTCTGAGCTTGGTGGTTTCCTTGCAGACATTTCATGACCCAACTAGGTAACATCATCAGCACTCATAATGAAACATCTGCAAGAAAACCACGAAGCTCAGACTTCCCCAATCAAGACCCTTTCAAATGTCCTACACTCTAAGTATTATCATTCACGAACCAGCAGATAACCATCCCCACATCACTTCTACAAATACCTCTGCTGGTGGTTTTTTTTTCCCCCAAATCATTTTTTATTTTAAAACAAAAAAATAAAAATAAAACATACAAACATCATTCATTCAATCAAGTACAGACAGTACATTGGTCGGTTTACATCCCTAGTGCCCTCTCCTCTCTACAATATCACTACATATCCAAAACTTATTCTTATATAAAATATATCAGTTGTATCATCATTTAAAATATTTCAACATTTACTTACGTATCACCATTTTTTATTATCTACCCAATGGTAAAATAAATCCCATATCAAAGAATATTGTTTTTCTTCCTGGTCTCTCATTTCAAATGTCAATTTACTCATTTCGGCACAATCCAACATTTTCCTAA